TCAGACGCAGGCTACCCAGTCATACCGGACAGATGTCGTATGTGATAGTCGTAAGATGATCGTTTCTTGTTCGTTGGTCCAGGAAGGACAGTGGAGGATACAGAAAGAACAGTCAATACTCGCAGAAGCGTACATACCCATTGGCTACACCTTCACACGATGGCGTATAACCCAATCTCGCACCTCTATCACCTATAGCCCCTCTCTGTTATTCTGTACATCATCTCTTCTTCAATGCTAGCAACCCGCTCGATGCGAGAGACTGCGATAGGGAGAAAGAGCGGCGAGGTCTTAGGCGTGAGCGTACTTCTCGGTCCACTCGCGCGAGACACGCTGGGCATCGGCCTCGTTCTCCTTGTAGTGCTTCGCAACATCGGTCGCAAGCGGGTCGTCCGGGTTCGGCGCGCTGAGTAGGGCTTGTATCGAGAGTAGTACTGTCCGGATCTGCAACGCGGGGCTCCACTTGTCTATACGTCGCCCCGTATGAGCACGCGACCATAGACAAACATGCGAGACGAGGGAGCACCTTTGAGAATGTCTAGACAGATGCGACCGAGTTTGTCTGCTAGGACATGAGGGAGCGGGAAGGGAAACACACAAGGAGGGGCGCACCGATATTAGGGTGGTAGATCTTCGTCAGGAAGCGCACCTTTGGCGGTGCCATCGGATACTCTTCTGGAAGGAACAGCTCGAGCGTGAACACGCCGTCTATACGGTCATCCCATCAGCATATCATTCCAAAAAATAAGTAGCACAGACGTACTCTGGAAGGGGCTTCCGTCAGGTCCTTGAATGGTGACATCAAAGTATCGGAGGTTGTCCTCGTGCGGGGCGGCAGTGATGCCGGGCGCAGGGTCAGCGACAAGCCGCTCGGTCTCCTGGGAGCGCGTTCAAGCACGGCGGGATGCAAAGACGCATATCAGGATCTACTGACTGGTCCACAGGCCCACGCGCGGAGGTGTGGACGGTAAGAGGCGCACCTTGATGATTCGCTACGATGCCACGCTCGGTCAACGATGCACGGGATGCGAGCACAACGGCAGCGTACCTTGGGTAAGGACATCGTTTGTGTGTCGTACTGGGTAGCGTTAAGGACAATGGGGACGAGAGGAAGAAGCAAGAATGATACAGACGAAAGCTCGGTGCGCAGGCCCTGTGCTGATCTCAGCTGCAGATCTGGGCTTCCGTTTTCGGGAAAATCACTCCCACGCTTCTTGCTTTCAGACCGTCATGGCAGACGACCAAGCTATGGTACATCTCCAATCTCTCTATTATTCTTTAGTCTGTCCTGGAATAATATGTTGCAGATGAACGGGAAGAGCCCCGAAGACTGGATCCGCCTGATCAGCACGGACGGCTACAGCTACCTTGTCCAGCGCAAGGTCGCTGTAATGAGTGGCACGCTCAGGAACATGCTCAACAACGACTTTGCGGAGGCTGCGTCGAACACCTGTCCTATCAATGAGCGGTACGTGCCCCAGCTTACGTACTCTGTGTTGTATGCTCATTGTCACATAGAGGGATAATAGTGGAGAAGCTTTGCGAGTACCTTCAGTACAAGCACACGTATGAAAACGCGTTGCCTCGCCAGGACGGACCAGATTTTACAGAACGGATACCTCCAGAGATTGCGCTTGAGTTGTAAGTGTCAGAACACCGTAGACCTGGTAACTGCGCGTACTCATGCAGTGTCAGACTTGTCGCTGCCGATTACTACGATAGTAAGTGAAGCTTTTTTCGTACCTGAACGCGTTCTAATAACTCCTTTGCAGCATAAGCATCACACGACGTGTCTTGACCATTTTTCCACCCTCGAATTGCTTTGTATGTCGCGCTCTTCACCGCCTCATCTCACTGTCGCATTGCTGTGTGTTTATCTATATCTTACTTTGTACTCTGTCTTGCTCTCTACAACAGTCCTGTACTATAAGAAAGAACTGCAATATGCTGTCTTCACACCTCTCGATGTGTAACTGGGAAATTAAGAATCGAGACAATATGAACGCGACGCAGTCACATGACCACTTTGCAGCGCTTCTTCGCGCAGGCTTTGTCTCTTTCTCCATCCGCTCGACCTCTCATCTCACGTATACATTCGCCATATGACATCTTGAAATACCACGATTGAGATCCTTGAATTTTTATCTTGGAAATAATTTCCAGAATCGCAAGGCACGTAGCGTGAGCCCCTCTTTCGGCCGACCTGCATTGACCAGCGTGCACGCTGTAGACACTTTTTGGATTCATATCAGACATGGACACAAACATCTTCTGGGACGACGCGAATGAAGAGCCACCCGCTTCTCAAAATACCACGCGAGAGATAGCACTGGCCCTGGAGGCTCAGAGGCGCATAGTCAAACCGGGGGTGCTCTTATACGGGCAAAGCACGCCTAGGACGCAGAGAAGGCTCGCAGACAGCTTGCTAGGAAGTCCAGAGTCTCGACGTATGTCTGCACACTTTCCAAATACTCGCGTTACTCTCGCAGATCATGAGACGCTTCGGTAGCACTCGAGGGCCCACAATTCTTGAAAGCTTACAACGATGGCGGATTCCGTATCTCTTTCGCAACACCCGAGGCCTTTCTTGAACCGTCATCCTCTAGCGGCGCCCTACGTCCGCGCACCAA